CTCATCTCATTACAAATATGGTGCTATTGTGTGCCGTTTTTACTGTATTTAATTACAGACAAGCAAACAAACAATCTCACAGTTTTATTAGTATATAGATTTTAACAAAAATTTATGTTTAAGGGAAGTGAGAATCATTAAATCTAGTCAAGACGTTACAAATGAGAGTCATTATCAGAAAGGAAAAAGAAGGTTTCCCAAAACACAGGAATGTTTAGTAAAAAAAAAAAGTACTACATCATCGCCTGACATTTGCTTCTAAAATATTGTTCAGAAAAATAATATTAGCATCTTCTTCTATTCTGTCTCATTTTACAAAATTCATCTTTGGATCTCCTTAAGCAATTAGACTGTATGTTTTATACAAAGGACCCATCCTCTCTAATTCCAGTTAATAATCAGCGAAAAACAATTTGATTTCTGGATGATTAAAGATCTTTCTTGAGGCTAATTAAAATATCTAAGAAAAGAAAAACTTTGTGAATATGTTCAGAATTTAAAATGTTATCACCGATATTTGACTATCTCCAAAGATAATTATTTGCGAATGTCAAACATGCTGTTGGACGTGAGACCTACTCTTAAATGGATCTGCACATGAAAGTGTTTAGATCTGTTGGTTTTAAACTGTGTTTATTAATGACCCAGATCTTAACGTTATAAATCACCTTGGGATCATATGGGTGAGGTAATTTCAACCACATAAACAACAATGGATGCAAATTTCACCAGACGTGTCTCATTCACGTCAAGGAAGGTACTACACGGTCTGACTACTTTTATCAAGATATTGCTTATATAAATATATATTTAAAATTACTAATTTTTGACCGATAAAATGTTAATACTTAAAACAAATACAAAAGCAATTATAATTCGTTTCATTAAACAGCTTTAGGTCAGTACGAAACTGCAATAAAAGCCTTACAAGAAGGTGTCAACGTTGCTAAGGCAACTGGGAATATTGCTGGTGAAGGGATGGCTTACGGAAATATAGGTACAGCATTTAGACATCTTGGTAAGTATCTGTTTAATGCAATTTTACCTTTCTTATCCATCAAACGTTCAACGATCGTTTAGACTAGTGAAGCTTTTTATCAGAATATCTTGTTGATGAATAGTAACATATAAATTAGTGTGTGAGTATTTATCAGTCGTATTGTGATTTTTTAAGCTCTTGTTATAATAGAAAGCACACCTCATCGTGAGGTTAGATTTATAGATCATCGTGTCTATTTGTTTGTTTTTGAATTTCGCGCAAAGCTACACGAGGGCTATCTGCGTTAGCCGTCCCTAATTTAGCACTAGAGGGAAGGCAGCTAGTCATCACCACCCACCGCCAACTCTTGGGCTACTCTTTTACCAACGAATAGTCACATTATAACGCCCCCACGGCTGAAAGGGCGAGTATTTTTGGTAGGACGGGGATTCGAACCCGTGACCCGCAGATTGCGAGTCGAGCGCCCTAACCACCTGGCCATGCCGGGCCGTGTGTCTTTTTGTTTTTACACCAGTTAAACCATGCTTTCATACCTCACCCAGAGCTTTTGTAAGGTTTTAAAGGTATTGTCGTAGTTGTCGATTTTACGGTTTGTAAATGCGCGATTATGTAAAATATGTATAGTATTGAATTATTATGGTTGATTTGGTTTTAAGTAAGATAATAGATATTCATATGTTTGTAATGATTATACTATTAAGTCTGTCAAACTTTATATATATATTAGCATAAATAAAAAATATGAACAAAACTTAAATTTAATATATATATATATATATTATTATTAATTTTTCTTCCTACGTACATAGTATAAAACAAAAAGTATTACATTCATATTTTTCTCTGTTTTTATGTAGCAGTTACTTGTTAAGTTAAAGACGAGTCGTATCAACCACACCAACTCCTTGATAATTTAACACCTTGAAGTAATATACAAAAATTATAATTCTTAAACAAAAAAATTATTAAAGTGTTTCTTATAGCCTGAGCCCAAAGATAATATAAATAAACAAATTCTAAAGATTTCTAATTTTGGTATTTGGTTTTCTTAACCTGAACATCTTATGCGAAACATGGATCAAATAGCCAAGTCAGAGCCCACACAATGCTCAGGCATAGTCACCCCTAATTGAGAATTTTTAACAGGAGGACGGACTTACAATGCTAGGAACAGGATTTCGATATTCGTAGTGGGCAGAGCACAGATAGCCCATTGTGTAGCATTGTGCCTAATTACAAACAAACAGACAAGAGGAAAAGCAACCAATCAGTAGCGCCCACCGACTACACGGCTACTTGTAACTGAATAGCAGGATTGACTGTTATGATTATAACGTCCCCACAGCTGAAAGTTCTGAGCGTGTTCAGCAGCATATTGAAGCTCAAGTTGTGGACCGTCTGACCCCCAGCCTGATATGTTAGCCACTAAACCAGTGGTTCTCAAACCTTTTTCAATTCGGCGGAGCAAAAGACCACGCAGATCACCTACCGGTCCTACCCTACCTGTTCTGTTCTCTAGTATAGCCTCGGCTGCGGTGTTACGCGTCAGTGACTTGCATTTTGGACCAGCCCGCAGACCACCACACTTTGAGAACTGCTGCACTAGACCAGTGGTTTCCAAACTCTTTTAGTCTGAGGCTCCCTTGATTGAAAAACTGTGCCGTGGTAAAAACAATAATATCTCCTTTCGACATATTGTATCATTTAATTAATTCAACATAATTTTTATTGGCATGTTGTTTATTTAGAATTAAAATTTACTCAGCATCTTTGTTTTCGGCCCATTTTTTGGCGGCCCTCCAGAAAAAGTTTCACGGCCCCAAGGGGGCCGCAGCTCTCACTTTGTGAAACACTGCTCTAGACCACTCCTGGTTGGGATAATTTTAAAGATATTCTAATTATTCAACTTAAACACATACGTGACTTATCTATACACGACTGTTCGTTGTTTAATCATTTGTTGCTGGTTTGAAATATATTTATAATCGCTCGTGGTTTTTGTTAAAGTTCTGATCAATAATTAATTATTAAATGCTTTGTCCGACAGAATACTCTGAGCAACATAAAAGGATTATGTTATGTGAACACGTAAGCCTTAATTACAGAACTTTGACTTGTAATGATACCGTTATTACGCATTTAAAGGAGAAACGTAACATGAAATTTCTTAATACCTTGCCTCCCAGTGGCACAGCGGTATGTCTGCGGACTTATACCACTAGAAAGCTACACAAAGGGCTATCTATGCTCTGCCCATTGTTAAATTTAATAAGTCAGTTTCAGATGCCTTTTAGTTGGATGACTTGCATCACTGACTTACTCTACTACCATTAGTTGATATGTTCCTCATTTCTAGACTCGCTGCAAAATACCCTAAAAATGAATACACCAAATAAGCCGCAGATAATATTTATTTTTATTTTCCTGTGCTCATGGCTTAGGCCTTTTAAAGCTATTTTGGTGTGTGTTACACAATTTTATTACACTAAATGTTTACAGATACCGAATATTTTCGATCTTTGGTCATTACAGTTCGGTTTTTATGGCCTTTCCACTTTCACCCGAAGAATTTACTCAACTTACAGGAGTTATTTTTTATATATTTTTTTTTTATAATTTGATAATTTCTAAAACATACAAACTAGCGTATAGTTTGTAAAAGTGACAGTCTTGGCGGTTAGTCGAATTCGTTATGATTATTTTCTAATAATCTTTCGTTAATCTTTCTTGTTCTATATTCCTTAAAGGAATGTAAAGTTATACATGTTTTGTATCTCATTTAACTCAGGCAAATTTGACGAAGCTATAATACATCATGAAAAGTACAGAGTGAATGGATTACAGCGAGGAGATGACGGAGGTGTCGCCATCATGCTACGAGAAATGGCTTTAGACTACCTGTTGAAAGGGGTATTTATTTCCATTCCGTTTCAGTTTCTAAAATACTATATATATACATATATAACTACTAATACTTTTTGATTGTCATTCGATAGCTTAAGACTTAATTGTTTTTTTTCTATTCATATTGTACATACTCTTCCAACCATCTTACTTCCTTTTTTTTAGAACTTTCGCACATAGTTACAGAAGGGCTATAGGCGTTCCTAATTTTGAACTGTTAGGCTAGCGGGAAAGAAGCTAGCCAATAGCGACACCGCTAGTTCTTGAGCCATCTAATCGAATAATAGGATTGTACTACCACTCTTATAGTGTACTCGCCGCTCCTAAAGTATGAAACGCGTTTTTATTGCGCTGGAATGCTAAGCATGAACTCGGATTTACAGACTGGGCACACTAACCTATAGGCCAGGCCTGGCCTCTTTGCCACCCACATTGGTTTCTACAGTGTTTGATATTTGGTATTTTCAACCGGGACAGCAACATATGCAGCACATGGGCTAAATGACCAAGTCAAAGATCACAATATTTAGGCATGGTCATTCCTAGTTTAGAACTGTTGACCAGTAGGAAGGGAGGATAACCAAGCAGCAGCACCCTCTGTTTGCACGGCTACTCTTATCGAACCTTGATCCTTCTGGTCATCAATGTAACAAGATGCCCACAAAGACGACGTTCTGCCCTCGTTTTTTTTGTTGTTTTTTTCTCCAGATTTCGGATTCTTTTCCCAAATATAACTTTCCGAGTTATTGTTTTATGTCAACTTTACAAAGTGTCCATCACTTTAAGAGACTAAAATTGTACCAAGTTCTTGAAAAAAATTTAAAAGCAGTACCATTTAGTATTAACTTAAGAATTTGTGTGTTGTGTCAAGTGGTGTTCAAACATGCTTCTTTATACTGTTACGTATTACAATTTCAAATAGCCTAAAACTGAGTTTAAACTGTAATTTAGATTTAGTAGTTAAATAAATGCCGATAGATATCCAATTTATGATATTTGCCAACAAGATTGATACACACAGTTTTCTTTTTTTAATACAAATATATTCTAATATGCAAACAACAATACAATTTACAATAACGGTTATTACAAATAGTTATTACAAAAAATGATTTATATACAAAAGTTTTCCAAACTTACAAACAATATCGAGACTTCTTTCTGGTCTGGAACTTCCTTGATGTCTTATCGAGGGTTCACGATGAGCAAGTTAATTTCGAGTTGATGTAGGTACAGTTTATTTAATAGTGAATATTTGACCGTATAAGTTATGTACATTTCTAAATATAAATTTAATTTAAACAAACATCGATATTAAAATAAATATGTAATAGTAAATCCGTCACAATACATATACCTAGCAGAGAAAAAAACACAACAACATTATATATTGATTAACTTCTTTATTGATGTTTTCAGATTTTTGCATGACTTTTGCTTAGTTCATATACTTTTGGTTTTAGGATTTAGAAAATGCTGAGATGCAGGTAAAAAAGGCCATTATCACACTTGAAACTATTCGTACAAAACTGGGCACTGAAGATTCCTCAAGACTAGCAAATTTTGATAAAAACCAAGCAGAAGCATATAATTTCCTTCAGGTAAATAAACCTTTTCAGTTAGTCTCTAGAAGTTTTTACAGCGGAGTTATTCAAGTGCTTCATATGTATGTGTACAATAAAGGCACTGTAGTTCATTACATACATTTCCCTATATTTGTACCCTTTCTTAATAATAACGAAACTTAACAATATAGGCATTACGAAAAAAGTAGTAAGTCAATCATAAAAAGCAGTTAGATCTTTTATAAAATAATAACTATAAACATTTTACGCTCTTACTTTACGAAAAATCGATTCAAAATAATCGAATCCCGTATTAAACTACAACACAAGAGGAACTTTGTTTTTCAAACTTAAATCTTTGACAAATACATCAAGTGGTAAAGATTTAATCAATATTGTAAACTCTTGGTCATAACAAGCTGTATATATATAATGTATCAGCTGGAGTACTCGTCTGTTGAATGGGTGAAATTGAAAACTTGTTTGTAACAAAGGAAATTGTGATGATGTTCTGTTTTTACCTTACCTATTGAACATTAAAAGTTCAATAAAAATACATAAAGATGCCAATACTGTTTTCAAGAATTCTATCAATATGAAATGAGATGTGGGGTACAACTCATGACCTTCCTCGTGTCATCTTGTATCACTGTGTCAAATTTGGTGCCGATTGATCAAGAAATGTGGAAACGTATAAGGAACAGATACACACATATATATTGACGTTTATTTATATAGAAATATTACCTAAGTATTGAGTGTTTTTCTACCGAAATATTGTAAACAAAATTTTCATGTATATATATATATATATATATATATAACAAAACGAACTAACCAACACCGTATTTAATAAAACTAGTAGTTGTTGTAGTA